AAGGTCCACCGGATCTGAAATTTTTAGATCATATGTAAAAAGCACAGATAACAGTAGTACTGGATTGGAAACAGAATATTGGTGGTTGCAGTAAGAGGCCGAATGTTTTTATGCGACGGCGCCAAAATAGGATTCTCGCATTCTGCTGGGTGGATAATTTGTGTGTTATGTATTGCACGAAATCGTCATTTTTGTGTTTTGTCGTTTACATTTAAAATCGAAGCTGCCAATGGTGCTTGCATTTGCTTAAAAATTAAAGTATTTCACTTTTTGATCATTTAGAGGGCACAATGCGTGGTGGTTTCTTTTGAAGAAGAAAAAAATGTGGTGCAAACCTTACATACGTATAGGTACGGCTCTCGCGAGATTAAGCGGTAGGTTTTGCACTTTAACGTTTCCGGTTATATCTAAGAAACTAATCGATCTACAATGAAGTTATTTTACACGATCTTGGCTGGCTTGTGAACCAACAAGTCGATCGCATCTTCAACACTTAAAAGCGTAAGACGACGAAGATATAGCCTGAAGTACACTTAATTTTCTAGGTGCAAAACCTACCGCTAAAACCCGCAAGAGCTGTGCATCAACAATGGAGGAGGGGAATGAGTGGTAAAAAACTGCCGTTCTGGCTACAACCCAACGAACGAAGAGGAACAAAAGATTAAATCAGGAGATGTCTCACATGCCACCTATTCACTTTTCTCACCGAAACATCTCTATGGGCTCAGTGGGTTGGCGCCATGGGTCACCGTGACCGGGCTGAGTGGGATCAGGACTATTGCGCTGTGTGTGAGCTGCATTTCAGAAAGGAAGATTTCGAAGATGATCGGTCAATTTGCACCGGCATGCAGAGACAGCGCCGTCGGTTCAAGAGCAGCGCAGTCCTGTCAGTATTGACCAGCGTGGATTACGAGATGCCCCCTGTGCACGAGCGGCCAGCGAAACTAGCCATGGCATCGGCACGCCACTCACACCAGAAGCAGGTTATGAAGGGCCCTGTGGGAAACGGTTAGGGCTTTGAGACACTACAAATAAAAACAAATAAATAATATATTCAGGCTTTCATGGCAAAAGGGTCATCTGGCAGCGTGCCAACAGCGAAAACGATATGGTAAGGCAAAGTTGTTTAGGTGAACAATTGGTGGTAGGAACGGACAAATAAGACAGCGGCATAGCGGAGAAATGCGGACCGTAGATAGAAGTAGTAGCGGTGTAGTAACGTAGAACGTAGAATGTAGAATGTAGGTAGAATGTAGAATGTAGGTAGGTTTCTGAAATCAGTCAGAAACGCATTTTCACTCTCTATCCGATAGACATGGGTCTACCTATCGCCGAAATATCGCTAATATCATGTCAGGCTCATATCACATTAACAATGCAATAGAAACGGCAAATAATATAAAATAATGAAAGAACATACCAAAGTTTTTCCACCGAATCACATTGTGGCGAACGGCGGCGCACAAACTCCATGCGTCTCACGCCGGCGCCACACAGCCAAAAAACGCCACGTCGATGGGCGGCGCACTGGACTTTCTGCGCCACCACTGGCTTAGGGTGGCGCCACCATCCAATGGTCAGTACGAACATCGTCGCCCCCTGTGTCCACAACTAGCGCCACCTGTCGAGCAACGCACAGGCCAACCCGCTCCGGCTCAGTCCGCTACATCCTCCCCCCGGTGTCGTAATGACACCTCGTTGAGCGGGGATAACGGAAGCCTGAACACAAAACCTCTTCGGTACGTTGCCCACTCAACAGCCACAGCCGCGCGCACACATATACAGCGTTCATCCTGAAGACACCACGCCTCGCATGGTATCGGCTTCGCTGCCGAAGTCACAGCTCCGGAGAGCAGCAGTCATCTCCGCCGCCCACTGCCACCAGCTCCGTGCGGCAGGCGAGCTCCCGCAGTACTAGCTCCGGAGAACCACCAGCTCGCCGCAGCCTCGGAGAGCACCAGCTCGCCGCGGCCGACGAGCGTCTCCGCCACAGCTCCAGAGAACACCAGCTCGCCGCGGCCTCGGAGAGCACCAGCTCGCCGCAGCCGACGAGCGCACCAGCTCGCCGCAGCCTCGGAGAGCACCAGCTCGCCGCGGCCGACGATCGCACCAGCTCGCCGCAGCCTCGGAGAGCACCAGCTCGCCGCGGCCTCGCAGAGCACCAGCTCGCCGCAGCCGACGAGCGCACCAGCTCGCCGCAGCCTCGGAGAGCACCAACTCGCCGCAGCCGACGAGCGCACCAGCTCGCCGCGGCCGACGATCGCACCAGCTCGCCGCAGCCTCGGAGAGCACCAGCTCGCTGCAGCCGACGAGCGCACCAGCTCGCCGCAGCCTCGGAGAGCACCAGCTCGCCGCAGCCGACGAGCGCACCAGCTCGCCGCAGCCTCGGAGAGCACCAGCTCGCCGCAGCCGACGAGCGCACCAGCTCGCCGCAGCCTCGGAGAGCACCAGCTCGCCGCCGCCGATGAGCGTCCCCGGACGCAGCTTCGGAGGACTCCAGCTCGCCTCAGCCGACGAGCACCTCCGCCGCAGCTAGCCGCCGTCAGGAGGGATCTGTTAGGAAGAAACAAAAGGAAAACATAGGATACTTGGGATATACGTGATAGGACAACACTGTCGTCACCAACATAACAGCCATCCTTCAACTCAGCTCTGACACAGAACAGTTCTGAGCTTATTCAGCCTCCTCCAGGAGGCACACTTTGCTGACCGGGCGCCGGTACTTGCCTCCCCCCGCTGCCATCAGTTCCACGGTACGAACTACTCCGTCCGAGCCCGGGAACACTCTTGTAACTCGGGCCAGGGGCCAGAACCCGCGTGGCGAGTCTGCCTCAATCATCAGCACGACGTCTTCAACTTTGAGATTTCTTCTCTCGCGCAACCACTTCTGCCGACTGGCTAGTGTTGGTACATATTCATTTCGCCATCTCTTCCAAAAATGTTCTGCCAGTACTTGTGACTGACGCCAACGTCGTTTGCTGCTGATCTCTCTGTCTTGAAATATGCCAGGAGACATGTTGGCGCTGGCACACCCGAGCAGAAGGTGATTTGGCGTCAGTGGCTCAACATCCGTACTGTCAGGACTGACGTGTGTCAGCGGCCGTCCATTGACCATTGACTCCACCTCGAGCAGCGCAGTGTGGAGTACCTCATCAGTCACACACTGAGATCCGATAGTCACTCTGAGCGCGCGCTTTACGCTGCCCACCAGCCTTTCCCATACGCCGCCCATGTGGCTGGCGCTGGGAGGCATGAAAGTCCACTTAATGTTCTCCTGACTCAGTTCGTCAGTAATGCGAGTTTGGTCGAGTTCATGTAGAGACTCACGGAGCTCACGTTCACCTCCGACGAGGTTCGTCCCATTGTCGGAGTACATTGAGTCTGGCTTCCCTCTCCTTGCCATGAATCTCCTCAGTGCCATGACGAAACTGTCCGTATCTAAAGCGTTTGCTACCTCCAGGTGTACTGCGCGGGTCGAGAAGCAGGTGAACAAGACGCCGTATCTCTTCTCGGTCCTCCTGTACTTCTTCACGAACATTGGCCCGAAGTAGTCGACTCCTACCGTGCTGAAGGCTCTGGACGTGTCATACCGGCTGGCCGGCAGCTCTGCCATTCTTGGGACCTGCGCGATCGCTCTTCGTCTTTTGCACACGGTACACTCGTGTAGGATCCTCCGGACTGTCGAGCGGGCCTTCAGAATCCAATATGTCTTCCTGACTTCTGTCAACGTTCTTTCTTGTCGTGAGTGAAGAACCTTCACATGGCAGTGCGTCACTACCAGGCGAGTAACGTCGTCTCTCGATGGCAGGATCACCGGGTGGCGAGTCGAATAGGCCACGGGCGCTTTGTCGATACGCCCACCGACTCTCATCACACCCTCACCATCCAGGAAAGGTGTCACTTGTCGCAGTTTCCCTTCAGTCTTCACTTCTTTGCCAGCTTGGATCTCTGCCAGTTCTTCAGCGAAGCATCTAGCTTGACAGTCTTTCAGTACCTTCGTCTCTGCTTGCTTCAGTTCCTCTGCTGACAGAGGTCCTGCGCGTCTCCAGTCTGCTCGTTCCTGACAGGACTTTGGGGCACAGTTCTTCACAAACCTCAGTACCCATGCCACGGTTCTTCTGTACTTCGTCCACGAAGAGAATCTCGAAGCGTCGGGAAGCACCGTAGTATCAGAGTCATGCTTCACAGTGAGCATGACTGATTCCGTCCTCACTTCTGGGTCGTTTTTCAGTACAGCCGTACTCGTGAGAGATGGCTGTTCCGGCCAGCAGTTCTCCTCCTGGAGCAGGAACCCAGGACCCGCGCTCCAGCGAGAATCTGATGACAGGTCAGACAACGTAGCTCCCCTGGAAACAACGTCAGCTGCGTTCAGACTCGACGGCACGTGTCGCCACTGATCAGGGCAAGAAGACTCTCGAATTTCTGCCACCCTATTAGCGACAAATGTGTGAAAGCGGCGGCTGTCATTTTCCACATACTGCAGAACAACTGTGCTGTCGGTCCAGAATAGGACCCTATCCACCCTGACCGACAGCTCCGTCCGTAGCACGTTTGCTACTCTGACGCCCAGCACAGCTGCTTGCAACTCCAGCCTTACAATTGAGATCTGCTTGAGGGGTGCCACCCTGGTCTTCGCCATAGCCAAGGAGCAGACGCGGCGACCATCAGGCATCGTCGTAGCGACGTACGCGGCAGCACCGAAGGCATCCTGAGAAGCATCACAGAAGATGTGAAGCTCTCTCCGACAGCTGTCACTTGCCGACACGCCTCCGAAGCATCGCGGGACGGTTACCCGCTCCAGATAGTGTAACTCCGAGAGCCACTGAGACCACCTCTGCAGCTCCGTCCCCTCGAGCTCATCGTCCCAGTCGTAGTTCCCCGCCCAGAGGCGTTGAATGAGAACTTTAGCCTGGAGAGAGAACGGAGCGACTAGCCCCAGAGGGTCGAATAGTCGAGCTACTCCTTGCACTACTCCTCTCTTCGTTGACGGTACACGTGAGTCAACAGCTCTGACTCCCAAGGTGTCGTTGATGGTGTTCCAGGCGCAGCCTAGCACACTGAACCGCGACATCGATGTCTTGAACGCGCTCTGCGGCTTCGATCCGTTCCAAGACCTTCCGCGAGCTGCTCATCCACTTTGTCAGCCTGAACCCCCCTCTTCTGAGAAGTTCTGTCACCTCGGTTTGCATCTCAGCTGCCTCTTCTTCGGTTCTCGTAGCGTGGACGAAGTCATCCATATAGAAACTTGTAAGTGCCGCTTCTCTAGCTGCTCTCCCTGCCGGGGTGCTACTGCTGCAGTCCTTAGCGGTCTGCTGCAGGACGAAGTTTGCTGATGCGGGACTGCTTCTGGCCCCGAAGATCGCGACCTGCATGGTGTATGGTTCTGGTTGCTTCGTTGCATCCAAATCTCTCCAGAGGAACCTCAGTGCTGGTTGATCTTGCGGAGTTATCTGGACCTGGTGGTACATACACTCGATATCAGCGGTCAGAGCGACGGGTTCCTCTCTGAACCTCAGGAGGATGCCGGGCAGATTCTTAAGAAGGTCAGGTCCCGTGAGCAGCACATCATTCAGAGAAGTGTTGCCACACTTCGCAGCCGCATCAAACACTACTCTGAGCTTCCCGGGCTTCCGGGGGTTCGTTACACCATGATGTGGCAGGTACCACTTCCTTGGGTGTGCTTCTTGATCTTCTTCTGGGGTTAGCTTGCGAGCGAATCCGCGCTCGACGTACCCCTCGACAACCTTCTTATAAGCTTCTGCTTTCTCAGATTGTCGCATCAGGGTCTTCTCCAGGGAGTACAGCCGGTTGGCCGCCATCATCTTGTTATCAGGTAGGCACACATCATCACTCATCCACAGGAGTCCCGTCTCGTAGCGATTGTCCAGTCTCCTGGTTGTGTCTTCCATGATCTTCACGGCTCTGACGTCTTGGGGAGATTTGGCATCCTGGCCTTCAAACCTGCTCCCAAACGATTCCGTGCTCCACCACTCCTGGAGTGCTGCTGACAGTTGATCGTCTGGAGCCATCTTCCTGATCAGCATCACCTGGCGCGTTCGTTCTGGCAGGAATCCCTTCACCGTGCCCGTCAGCGTCCACCCGAAGACGGTTCTGATGGCCACCGGTTGGCCCGCCTTCCCTGTCCTCGCTTCCAGCTGAAGCACCGCTTCAAGGACGTTGGCGCCGAGAAGAAGATCGACCCTCTTCCCTGAGCAGTCTGGAAGGTCGAGGTCCAGCAGGTGCTTCCATTCGATCCTCTTGTCAGGGAGCTCTGGAACCGTGACGTTGATGTCCCTGACGGAGAAAACTTCAGGGACCACTATTCTTGATCCGTCGCCACCTGACGCCTTGAGCTCCAGTTTCATCTTCACGGAGTTCTGGAGGCGCCCGCATCCTTCCACGTTTTGCAGGCGGAGGGTTTGTGGCTCCCCTTGAAGATTCAGCTGCGTCATTACCTCTTCGGACACCAGTGAAGTCTGAGAACCAGGGTCTAGTAGAGCCCAGACCTGCTTTTCCTTGCCACCACTGGCAAGGACGGTGACTGGTACGACCTGCAGCAGGGTTGTGGTCGCGCCCGCCTTCACTGATGCTGCTGCTACCACGCGCTGGCCAGTGTTCCTGAGGTCGACCCTCTTGCTGCCATGGAGCACCTGATGATGTCTCATCTTGCAGCTGTCGATGCCGCACGGCCTTGCCGAGCGACAGTGCCGAACGCCATGTCCAGCCTTCAGACAGAAGAAACAGCACCTCGCACTGGCGATGAAGTGGGCTCTTTCATCAACCGATTTCTTCAAGAAGATCGGACACGTTGTCACCTCATGCTGCTCCTTGCAGCATACACAAGTCGTGCCTGATGTATCAATCTCTGTGGCCAGAGCACTTCTTTGGACGGGCCTCAGCTTCACGTCGCCCTTCCACCGCTGAGGCTGTCCTGCCGGCTTCTTGCCAGTCGCCATATTCTGCTGTGGAGACACGGCAGCGTAGTTGAGGGCCACCCTGACCTGCCTGCGAAGCCATTCGTCAAAGTGCACCAGTGTCGGCCTCTCTCCCAGGTTCAAGACATATTCTCCCCATAGACGTTTCATCTCAGATGGGAGCCTTTGAACAACTCGTCTGAGGTTCTCGAAACTATTCAGATCCCCATCGTAGCCGAGACTCCTGAATATCATGACAGCACAGTGGACTGATGCGTGCAGGCGCTCTAGTCCAACCGGATCTAGTTGGGAGGGCGCAGGGCAGGAGAAGATCTCTTGCAGGTACGCGTGTACGACATCTTCCTGGCGGCCAAACCTGTCCTGCAGAGCACGCACCGCCTCTTCATATAGGGCCCCATCAAACATCATCCCACTGATGGTGAGCTTAGCAGTACCAACCACTGATGCTTGCAGGTGTATCAGTTTTTCTGTTGGGGAGAGTGAGATCTGTTCATGTACTAAAACTTTAAAAGAAGCCCACCACTTCGGCCACTCGGCCGGCTCGCCGCCGAACTTCGGCAGAGTCAAGCGCGGAAGACTATTGTGCAGCAGCGATGAAACACAGGGCGCCCCTTGGGCGACTGCATCACTGGCTGTGGGTCGAAACTGACCGGCTAGTTCAGTAGTGGGTGCTCGGGCAGCTCCAACAGCCGGTGGGGGAACATGACTGTAATAAAACAAATCAGCTGTGTCGGCGCCGAGTGCCCCTTGGGCAGCTCCAACGGCCGGTGAGATGGTGTGGCTGGGACGTGACGAACCGGCTTCTTCAACAGTGGCTACCCCTTGGACAGCTCCAACGGCCGGTGAGATGGTGTGGCTGGGACGAGACGGACCGGCTACTTCAACAGTGGCTGCCCCTTGGACAGCTCCAACGGCCGGTGAGATGGTGTGGCTGGGACGAGACGGACCGGCTACTTCAACAGTGGCTGCCCCTTGGACAGCTCGTGCAGCTGGTGGGATGGCTCGGCTGAGATGAGTCGAACCAGCTTCTTCACTAGGTGCCCCTTGGGCTTCACAGACCTTGGTCTCACCACAGAAATCATTTCTCCGGTCCCACGCTAGGTCATCTTCAGCTGCTCTTGCCAACTGTGCACGCAGCTCGGCAGCTGCATGAGCATCCTTTGCTTCTTGTAGCTTCATCTTCCTCTGGATCTGTTGCTCTTCCTTCTCCGTCTCAAGCCTTTTCTGCAGCTGCTCCAGCTCTAGCTGCTTCACCTTGGCCTCTATCTCTGCCAGCCGGGATGCTGACGTCTTGTCTGATGCTGCAGAGTCTGACGCCTGCTTTGATGCAACTGATGGTGGATCATCCTTCCTCTCCTTCAAATGCACTTCAATCCGGGTCACCGCTTCTTCATGCTGCCTGTCTGCTTCTGCTTGATACACTCTTGCCTGATCAACTTCCTCTTGAGATGTCAGCACAGAAACTAAACTATCTGTCATCTCCTCCAACTGCTCGAGTGCCTGATCAAGCTCATGGACGATTGACGCTAGCTGAGTCCGACTACCTCTGGTATCAATCAAGACGAAAGCCCTCCTCCTGACCCTGGTCAGTGCAGCTAACAATCTGCCTCGCTTCTGTTTCAATTGTGCTACAGACATGTTCTGGATTTAACAGCACAACGCCAATCAGGAACTGAGTCACAATTGCAATTCTCAGCAGCAAGTACAAAACTTCTCGCCACAAGAAACTGTCATTAACACGACCTACACCCTGAGAAGCCTCTTCGGGCGATCAAGACAGAATCTTCAAATGAGATACACTCATAACAACAGCATCATGTTCGGAAAGTCCTTTGGCATTCTGACAAACTTTTGCATAGACCTACAACCATATCACTAGGCTGTGGAAACTTTGAAACTGTTGTGGGAAACGGTTAGGGCTTTGAGACACTACAAATAAAAACAAATAAATAATATATTCAGGCTTTCATGGCAAAAGGGTCATCTGGCAGCGTGCCAACAGCGAAAACGATATGGTAAGGCAAAGTTGTTTAGGTGAACAATTGGTGGTAGGAACGGACAAATAAGACAGCGGCATAGCGGAGAAATGCGGACCGTAGATAGAAGTAGTAGCGGTGTAGTAACGTAGAACGTAGAATGTAGAATGTAGGTAGAATGTAGAATGTAGGTAGGTTTCTGAAATCAGTCAGAAACGCATTTTCACTCTCTATCCGATAGACATGGGTCTACCTATCGCCGAAATATCGCTAATATCATGTCAGGCTCATATCACATTAACAATGCAATAGAAACGGCAAATAATATAAAATAATGAAAGAACATACCAAAGTTTTTCCACCGAATCACATTGTGGCGAACGGCGGCGCACAAACTCCATGCGTCTCACGCCGGCGCCACACAGCCAAAAAACGCCACGTCGATGGGCGGCGCACTGGACTTTCTGCGCCACCACTGGCTTAGGGTGGCGCCACCATCCAATGGTCAGTACGAACATCGTCGCCCCCTGTGTCCACAACTAGCGCCACCTGTCGAGCAACGCACAGGCCAACCCGCTCCGGCTCAGTCCGCTACAGGCCCAGACCGATGCGTTCTTCACGAATGACAATATCAGCTATCAGGTGGCAACTACAACTGGTCGAGTGTCCGACAGTTCCTGGAGAATGAGGCGGTACTCCGAACTAAGGGCCTCAGATGGTGGTCACTGGTCACATTCCAGATCCGCCGACGACTCCGCCCGAACGGCACCATCACAGCAGGAGTGACAGCAGGATGGTGCTCTTGTCATCCAGGAGCTAGTGGCCGCGGTGGCGAAATCCGCTGAAATGGAGGACCTGGATGGCAGCGCCAAGGCCTCCCTGGGGCACAGCTCCGGCGCCTTGGCACGCTCGGCCACCAGGCGTAACAAGTACGGTGCCTCCTCCAGCCTGCTGATCGATCATGGGGCTACGCCGCTGGAGGTACGACTGGAGGAAGACGAGGAATACATCGACCTCACCGTGAGGATCTGCCAGATTTGGAGTTAACTTCCGAAGACGGAAGTGAACAGGAACCAGCTGCTGGTCTGCGATCAACCAAGAAGTGACGCAGAAGTGACGAAGATAGTCGTAAACCGGGATGTCGAACTGACCGGAAGTCGTTTGCAATGATAGCCACGACGTCCTAAGGAGCCTCCTTCCAGAAATGTATACGACGGTTTTCAATCTACATATTTGCTGGAAAGTGTACACATGGTTGATAAGTGAGGCAAACAGTGCTGTCCATCAAAAGTCAGGAAGCAGACACCCCAGCCACTGCAGGTGCAACCCGATCGAGGAGCGACAAGAGGCGAAAGCTCAACAGGGTCAAGAAGATGTAAGGCGGGGAAGTAAGGTCGCTGGTGAAATTGGGAGGGCAGGCGAAGTGACACTTGAAGGGGTGTCTTGTGACGTTTGTTTGAATTGTAACGTTTCGATGGTTCGTTGTGACAGGACTGGCGTCGATTACCATGTAAATAAAGAGATCAAACTCACATGTACAAGTACTTTTTGTGGATGAGAGTGAGAAATCATTATAATCAAATCAGTGGCATGCGTTCCCTCACCACGGTGAAGAAAGTGTAACCAGCAAACGTTTAGTAAAATAAGTTGCCATGCAAAAATGCAACAATAAACACGAGCACGGCTAGATTGCTTCTTTATAAGTTTCATTCATATAAACCAATATTGTTTTTTGCCTGTGAGAGGAGATATCGAAGTCTGGGCACGAAATATTCGATTCTGTTTTCGGCCCCTTACTGCAGCCGCCGGAATCCTGTTTCCAATCCAGGTAAAAAGGTAAGCTGTGCCAAATTTGTCGGCGCTTCGCGCCGCTGTTTTCACGCTATCCTTTGAAAAACCTTGGGGGAGTCGCATCGATCCCCATGCCAGGGCGAGGGTTAAACCGTCAAATCGGCCGCGTATGAGCGGCCAGTAGCTAGAATGTTTCTGCCGTCACCAACGTCAAACATCCGGCCGAGCTGCAGGTCTGGAGCATGTTCAGCTGCTGTGCGATGTTCCAATTCCACGTTGTGTCACAGAAAACCACCAATGACAACGAGTAGGTACTACTGGAGCAACATCCTGGCCAATGAATGGTTGGTGGCGCTCAAACAGACGGCACAGGAGGGCTCAAACAGACGGCACAGGAGGGCTCAAACAGACGGCACAGGAGGGCTCAAACAGACGGCACAGGAGGGCTCAAACAGACGGCACAGGAGGGCTCAAACAGACGGCACAGGAGGGCTCGGTTTCTGAACGCTTGCTGAGGCCTGATTCAAGCCGCGCTGTCTTTATGCGGGGCGGCGCGCCACCCTCAAGTCCCTAACAGAATGATAAATGATGCTGAGAGAACCTCCTATCTTTCTGGGCTAACGGGGTATGTATTGGAAATAGTCCCAATCCAATCCCATGAAAAACGTGTGGACCATTGCCTGGCAGACGGCGAATGAAGAGACACCCGCCACCAGCACCGCCCGACTGTGGGCACAGGTGAAGACGGCGTCGGTCCGCATCAAACCCAGTGTGCTGGAGAGAACCCGGTGGCTGGAATGCTCCAGTGCATTCATAACGGTGTTCTTATGAAAGGTGACTTTATCGTCATTTACAAGGAAAAGCTCCGGATTATTTTACTTCTTGATTCCAGCGGGAAGAATGATGTCCGGATAATTTCGTTACACCCTGTAGTCTGTACAGGCCGCCCGGTTAAATGCACGCGTGCGCTGGGGAAAGTTGGCCCACGCCCCACATGTACCTACCACCTTTCACGGCGGCTTGGGTCAGGGGTCGCTGCACTGGCCGTGCATGAGTATGCTGGCAGAGCGGGAGAGCGAGTCAGTCTGTTCTGATCATAGCAAAAAACACCAGACAATGCATTTCTAAATTATTTTTCATCAAGGAAGTCCTACATGGGCGTAGGAACGGCTGGAACATTGTGGGTGCATGGGTGCAGAAATCCAGCCATGGCCGGTGAAGCGGGGGGGGGGGGGCGACACCCGAGCGAAGGCT